TTTTTTTTTTTTTTTTTTTTTTTAATAATAAGGAAGAGGAGAAGAAGGTGGTAGGGAGAGAGGAGGATCACCGGGTGGAATCCGGTGTGGATACAACGACGACGAGGGTTGGGCCCGGTTGGATCGAATCGAAGGTGGAGGAGACGTCGCACGATGAGACGGACGACGAGAGAATGTCGCGCGGACGCCGCGGGATTCGTCTCAGTCGTCCGACTGGTCGACCGGTGGCCGTTGAGAGCGTCGAAGAGGAACGCGTTCCGGAAAGGGTGAAGGGCAGCAGGCCGTCCTCGATGGTGTGTCATGATCTGATGGGACGAGTCATGTCACGTGTCGTCGGGACGCTGCTCGCGCGCTCCACGCTGGTCACGAGCGTCGCCGCGGCCCTCGTCCTACTCTTCTGCTGCTGCAGGTGCACTCGCGCCAGCGAGTTTCCGGAAAGAGAATGTTGCGACCTGATATTCCCGATCCCGGAACCGACCGGCAGATCTACGTCCGCGCCCACGCCAACGGGCAGAAGCGGTGAGTGACCAACCCTCTTGTTAGATTTACTCTATCTCTCGCGAGTGGAGGTATTCGCGTCGTTCTTTCACGTTTCTTCGCCGAGAATTTGAGACAGGTGATCGAGCAAAGAACATTCGCGACAAGAGATGTCAACAAGACCATGCTCGGAGTAGAGAATCGCCCCTTGTTGACGTTGGCTCGCCAGCTAAAGCCGATTCGTAAACAGTCGCGATCCTTCGATCGCGCGTTTTTATTCGGGCCAAAGTTATCTTTCTCCCTGTTTGATTCCGTTCGTTTTTTTTTTTAGGGGAGAAAGAGGGAAAATTCGTGGTACAGTTAATAAATCACGAAGATATCGCGTGTATAGACTCGGTTTCAATTTTTCTATAGCCTGCGATATTTTTTTAAAAATCGAAACTCGAATCGTTATTTTTATCGTTTCGGTTATGATCGTTAATTGACCGAATACGGGGGAACAACGGGCGAAGAATACATTTTAGTATCGGGAAAGCGCGTATTCTTTTTTTTTTTTTTTAAACACTCGTTTTGTCAATGGTTTAATAGAACATTCCATTCGGCGAAAGCTGGGAGGAATGGAATAGAAGGGAAGTCAATAATTGAACAGGAACCAATAACTGTACGTATAGCTTGGCCGTATTTTGTTAGCCACCGTTCAGCTATTACAATTTCCGTAGAGGGATGAGCGGATTATTAATTCAATTAGGATCAATTATTAATTCAACAACGACGGTTTATCGACGCGAGTTCAATGCGGTGGTAATTTAAGTGGCGAGACAAGCGCGTAATCAAGTGGCCTGTTTTCAACCGGAAGTCGCTTCCAACCACCTCGTCTTCCCTCCCGCAATCTTTTCTATTTTCAATTTCTTTCACGAGAAAATACAGAAATAAGGGTCGATTCCTTTCCTTTTTCCATTTCGATTTTCCTTCAATCAAACGACCTATATATTTCTAAAATAATACTTCTAATAACGTCACGTATCAATCTTTCTCCTCGGAACCGGACCGTGCTCGAACAAATCGACTCGATCGATGATCATTTCGATCATCCAGTATATCCACTTTGCCCGAAAATATTCTTCCGAGAGTGTTTCTTCGATCGATATCTCCGACTAATTCAAATCTCTCGAAGTTTTCCTCCGTTTCCTCTGTCAATGTTTCTCCTGTCTGTGTATTCGATATTTTAAAATCAATTCAATGTTTCTCTTTTAAACGAATGTTTACGCGTTCTTCGAATAAAATTGGTGTAGTATCGCGTATAACGATCACCGTTCAATTGTACCATATAATACGTAACCGTAATTTCCTGTTACCGAAACTCGGAAAGTTCGGTTCTTTCAAATCTCGGCTAGTCTCGGCGAGGTTAATGAAGACAAAGGTACTTAGCAGGACAAACGCGAAGGGTTGGTGGTCGACATTGTGTCGTAGGAATCGATGTCTGCGGGAATTTCGGTCCCCACACGGGATGAAGTTCGATCGAGGTTGGCCACGATTGAAGGTTATCCCGCTGCGTCTATAGCCGAGTCCATAGTGGAGTAAGTTTCAGAATGGAAGTCATTTATACACCCTCCCTATACGGAATTCCTCGGTGGCGAAATATCGCGTACGTGTTCGTAAAGCGTTGGTAATGAATGATTCGATCAGAGTTTCGTCGGTCTTTTATATCCTCGTTCTCTCTCTCTCTCTCTTTCTCTCTCTCCCTTTCTTTCCAAGGTCAAGGATGAACTCGTCCACGATATTCCTCCCCTCTCTCGGACCCGTCTCGTCAGCGGCGAGAATAATAATCAGTTATTCCTTTCATCCGATTGATGGATTACTACTGAATTCGATTCTCTTCGATTCGATAATTTTCAAAAAACGAATCAACTTTAATCTTTAACGTTTAAACGAACCATCGCTTTTTTCCCTTTTTTTCTTTCTTTTTAATCGATCGAGATTAAATTGCCCGATATCACTCGTGATTCGTAGCGAGGCGTTGCAGTCGATCGAAGAGGAAATTTAAGAAGATCGCGTTAAAGTGAAAAAGGCGCGATGCTACGGCAAAAGGGAAGAAACGTCCCGCAAGGCGCGAAAGAAGGCGACAACCCGTCAAGAAGGAATCCTACACCGAAGAAAAAGAGAACGGGCACAAAGCTCGTTCCTGGTACGCGCTCGCTCGTTCGAGTCCAAAGCGAGCGAAAGATTTTTCCAAGAGCTCGCCTACGCTCGTCTACGACTCCTAGCTTAAATGTCGCGACTCGACCCGCAAAAAGGAAGAAAACGCATGGAAGGGAAGAGAGAGAGAGAGAGAGAGAGAGAGGAGCGGGCTGCGGCCGAGAAAAAGGAGTCGCACGGAGCCCACGGAGAGAAAAAGAAAAGAGGAGAAGTGGCCCATTGACGTTAAATCGCACGGTGAGGCGCTTTTAAACGTCCTTGCTATTTTCATGCGACCTACTTTGCCAGCCGCACCGTAACGAGGTTGCTTTCGAATAAATTCCAAGTGCTTTCGAATCCCTTCCTTGCTCTCCCTTCCCCTCCTTTGCTCCATCGCGATTTGGAAATTTTTGACATTGTCGGATCAACTTTTCGCCTTCTTCTTTGTCATCCCAGCTCGATCGTGAAACCGTGGCTATCTCGAGCGTCTCTCGTAAACGATCTTCTATCCTCCCTGGGGAATCTAGTCCTCGAATAGATAAGGGTAACCTGATTTTACGCGAGAAAATCTTAAGTAACCGCAACATAGGTGGATATAGATAGAGGTATCGGTGTCGATGGATATTTATAGTTTGTCGCGATTAATTTAATCGCAAGATGGATCGAATCCGAGTATATTCACGCTCGTCTGAAGTCTATTTCTCCACATCCATCGGTGATTCCGATCAAAATTCAAATTTTTGAAACGTACATTTTCCAGATCGATTCGGTCCTTTTATCGATCGCTTAAGGAATAAGGGTGAGAAAATAGGGAGCTATTGATTTGAATCTCGAATCTCGAGCTTAATATTCGAACATGCGAGTTGCGAAAGAGAAATCAAGTTGATCGCGCATCTCCCTTCGATAACTAGGAAACGTATGCGCATATTTTCGCGTGGCGATGCCATTAGTCAGACGAGGGCACGATTTAAAAGAACGTCCCGATAACGATCTGATTCGATTAAATTACGAAACAATTTGATTTCTCGGCCTCCCCCGGACCAAATAATTAATTATTCGACAAAATTTCATTATTGGAAATAAATTCGGGTGTCATGTTCGCTTCAATAATGACTACGAATGGTATGATTTCGAATCTAAACATTCTACATCGGATCGAATCGTTTCACGATTTGATATCGTATCGCGAAACTCTGGCCTATTGATAATATTTATTTATTTATTAAATAAAATCAATGACCGAATAATGCTCGTGACACGAATGAACGGAATACCGTACATTAACTTACAATAACAGTATAATTGCAAATACGGATGTGTTTGTACAAAATTGTACGGCGTATTAGGCGAACGAAAATCCATTTATCAATAATTAATATTGAATAGATTTTTGAAATATTAAAGATAAAGGCTTTATATTTGTCAAAAAGGATTAGAGAGAATTCGTAGAAGATCGAAGAAGACGAAAAATTCAAAAATCGACCGAAAGAGGATTCTTTCTTCGTATCGATAGATTTTCAAACGGATTAATTCGATAAGAAATTTACATAGTTATTTTATTCGTTATTTCGTTGGAAAATTATGTATCTCGCATAAATAATAAAGGATATTTGATCGCGTTTCTAGCAGAACTTGCTCGGAAACGAGGAAGGCGTTCGCCGGACCAGAAGGTCGGCCTGCACTCCTGTTTTATTCGACTCGACCTCGTTTCCTTTCTTCGATGTACGATTCTCTACAGTGGGCTCTCGTGGTGGCTGCAATTCGAAGAAGTTATTACTACTTGTATCGCGGCAAAGGGAACACCTCGAATTACGAGAATCCTCGTCAAAGAAATGACTAATTAATTGGCCGGCAACCTCGGGCCTCCTTGACCCGATATATATATCTATATCTATATCTATATACACGATTCCCTTTGAACCCTTCGCCGTGACCCGAATCGAGTCGAAACGGTTTGCGAATCTTCTTGTTAGCTTTTCGATCGTAATCGGGTCGCGTTTGTTCGTCCTCGAATTTCCGCCGACACACTCGACCATCCCCCGCTAGAAATATCGGGGAACCCGCTACGAATCTAGATTCATTCCCTTGCTCCTTCCTTTTTTTCTTTTTCCTTTTTCTCCTTTTCCATTTCCGACTGTTGCATCGAGGATTAATTTGTGGGAGGGAACAGATACGAAATCTCGTTTGCCG